TGTGGGGTGGGTGAATCCTTCAAATCCTTCCCGAGGAGCTCCCAGTCCTGGCTGGGGATGGAGAGGTCCAGCGTTCCTGCAGGGATGTGGCTGCAAAGCTGCTGCCTGGATTTGCTGTTAATTGTACCTTAAAAACAAACCCCAAAGAGCGTCAGGGGATGGAAACTCCTGCTAAAATCAGGAGCTGGGAAAGGGCAGTGAGGGTTCCTTCGTTCAGAGAGGAGCTACACCTTTGGAATGGCTGAAAGAGGAAAAAGCCCCAGAAATGCCAAGGGAATGCTGGAATGAGGAGGAAAATGTGAGGACAAATCCCGGGGAGGATGAAACAGCCCCTTCCCATCCCAGATTTCCCATCCCACCCCAAATGCCTTAATTTTCCTGACCTTATTACAAGAGACCAGAGGATCCCCAGGAGCCATGAGGCATCAGGAGAAGGGAGTCCAATCCTGCCTTGCCACCAGATCCATGGTTTGGGTTGGGAGGGACCTCAAAGCTCATCTCGTTCCACCCATTGCCATGGGAGGACACCTTCCATCAGCCCAGGGCTCCAGCCTGGCCCTGGACACTCCCAGGGATGGGGCAGCCACAGCTCCTCTGGGAAATCCATTCCAGGGCCTCCCCACCCTCATAGAGAGGAATTCCTTCCCAATATCCCACCCATCCCTGCCCCCTGGCACTGGGAAGCCATTCCCTGTGGCCTGGCACTGTTCCAAGCCCCATCCAGCTCTCATGGGGATCAGGATTGGGGTGCTGGGTGCTGTTCCCCAGCACAATCCCACCCCTCTCCCTGCTCCCGGCACCTCTTCGTGTTGATGAGCCAGTGCACGAAGTCCTTGGCCTTCATCCTGTCCAGGTACCGCGTGAAGTCGCTCGTGAAGGTCCCCTCTGAGTGTCTCTTGATGTGGGATGGGAAGCTCGGGGAGTTCTGGGCTCCAAACAACTCCCATCTGCTCGGGGTGGGAGGAGAAAGGAGCAAAACGGGGTTTGATGAACACCCCAGCAGGATCCTCCCACAGGAGGTGCCCAGGGCAGGGCTGTGCCCCCCAAACCCCAGCCCTGTGCAGAGCATCCCCCAGAGCAGATGGAGTAGTGCAGAGGAAGAAATCTGGAATATTTCATGGATTCCTACAAATCAAACACACAATTCTTGTTTCAGTTTCCGGAGATTTACCAAGCCTGGCCTGGGCTTTCCTGGCATCCAATATATCCAGAGTCCTGTCCCAAATCATTCCCCTCTGTCCTGCTTGCTGGAACCCAACCCCCACGGCGGGAATGTGGGGCTGCTCTGAGGTTTGGATCATCCTCCTGCAGCTCCAGGGTGATTTGGGGATTTACCACAGAGGGTTCCCAAAGGACTTTGTGCCATGGGAGCACCAACCCAGAGGGGGCTCAGCCTCAGCCTGCCCTGGTGTCCCTGCTCTGACCCAGCCAGGAAATCCCGGGGTTCCCTACAGAGGAATGTCCTGGGCTGTGGGGAGCCACGAGGGTTTGTTGGGATCCATACAAAACAAACAGGGACACTGGAATAGGGAGAGCTGGGGCAGCAATAGGAATGGAGAGGTGTGGAGGCCGATGGGCCTGCCATGGCTCTGCCTGCAGCCCTGCCCTGGAGAAATGTCCCTTGGGTGGGCTGTGATTAGCTTATGTCAACCCTCCTGGAAGGATGCTCCTTAGGCTGGCACATCTTTTGTTATCATGGTAAGCTATCCCCAAAGGCTTCAGTGATCCCACCATGCCCTAGTGCCCATGGTAATCCTTTGTAACCCATTGGTCTTTCCCCCTTGGTACCGCCCTTGCTTTCCCCCATAAAAATTCTGGCTTTTCCCCCAGTTCTCTGGGGAGCTGTCATCCCTCACGCCCTTCCCAGAGCTGCTGGATAACAAAGGAATCTCTGTAGAATCGCCATAGGGACACTTCTGTCTCTCTGTCCCTGAGTCGGCCTGGGATGGCCTTGCAGACAGAGCTGAAATCACTGAGCTGAAATCACTGATCAGAGCTGATCACTTGTGGCCACAGGCTGCAGCTTGCTGAGGTTTACCCGTGACTAAGAGACGTGCCAGAGACCCCCTCAGAAGGCTCCAGACCCCCTCAGAAGGCTCCAGACCCCCTCAGAAGGCTCCAGACCCCCCAGAAGGCTCCAGACCCCCCAGAAGGCTGTCCCTTGTGGGACCAT